CATCTACTGTTCGAACTCCAGTTTTTAGTAAAACTCAATCAAAGTCTGAGAAAACAACACGGTCATATGGAGTTATTGATACATACAAACGTCCAAACAAAAGCTTGTTTCGGGAAGGTGTTGTMCGTAATTTACGTTACTAATGATCAAATTAGTTTACTTCAGTAATGTAAGATATTGTTATAGCATATTTTACCAACAGTAATTATTTTTAACTAGTGTTTCAAAAATATTAACACATAATACGATATACTTTTTATTTCTTCTGGGGACAATATTCTTATATTATATAGTCAAAAAATAATTGTTATTTTGACATAGTTCATTTGATTGTATATTTTAATATACATTATACAGGGCACAGTGCTATAGACAAGCTAGTCAAGCTATAATAATATGGTATAATATGAGAGAGGTTGTCATAATGATAATTAGGATTTGGAATTTATAGGATTCATAGAGCATATTATTCTGTATGCTCTCGATTTTTAGCAAACCTAGCTAGAACTCCAAACTATACGACGTTAAGTTCAAAAATTAAAAATGCATATTTTGCATATTTMGTTGAATTTAAAGAAGTAAATGCATATTTCTTGGTTTTCATACGTATATCATACATATTTTAAATTTTATAAAAAATTAATTTTTTTTTTTCTTAAACTATGTATTTTAAGTAATCTTCAATAATAATATAATAATGAAAAAATATTTTACTATTTTTCAATTCAATAAAATGTTAAATGTCAGTGGCGGATCCAGGGGGGGATCGGGGCGATCGCCCCGATCCCCCGTTCTCTAAAAAACTTCATATCCATATACAATTTATTATGTATATTAATTATTAATTTTTGGAAACAGCCTCTATATTTACGTCTATGAAATACTACTGCCCCCCCACCCGTTATTTTTGGCTGGATCCACCCCTGTTAAATGCCAACCAGTTAAACGCCATACTTTAGTTTTCAATATTATCATTTTTGTGTATTGATAAATATAATAATTCMTAAGTAATAACGACATTATGTGTTTTTAGTTAATGAACTTTGATTAATATTTTGCATATTTATAGATATTTTTTTGCATATTTTGCCTATTCCATGTATATTTTATAATTTTTTTGTGCATATTTTGTCTTTTTTAACTCCTATAACTTCCGAACCCTAACGATTATG